GGGGGGGGGGGGAAAGTATCAGAAACTAGGTTGATTCTCCCAAGCCAGAAAGTATTTTTATTTACCAGTTTATTTCAATAAATCTAATTTCCGTGAAGGTAAAAATCCTGTGATTGATGGCATTCTTTCTTTTCAAATCTGTTTGTAGTTTTTATAGCTGTCTGAATTTAGCATTTAAATTTTGACCACAAAATCATCATGAAAGGTTCTTCTCTGTGATGTATTCAACAAGCCAGTTGTCTGTTAATGACATTTTTTTGGTGCCTCAGATTTCCCAGTAGAAAAAAGTGATTATTCAAACACACACACACACACACACACACACACGGAAGAAATCCACTCCAGGAGCCCACACTGTATAAGTTTCATAGCTTTTGAAAAGATTTCCCATACAATGTCAGTTATTTCATATAAATTATCTTATTGTTCTGTGATAACAAAACAAAGACTTGAAAATTAAGCACATAGGGAGGGTTATGGGTGAAGATATTCCTATTACCACTGTCGGAGTTTCCAACAGAATGTGTCAGGGTGGAAGCAATGCGCATGTTTACAGTCCTAAAGTAAACATTCCTTGATCCTAGAATCACTAGGAGCAAATCAGAGCTGGAGATCAATTGAAGAGCTTCTTAATTTCATCTGACTCCGTGGGGAAAACAGTTATTTCATCAAGACTGAGAAATAAGCTGGAGTGAAAATGTCTACAATCAAATCAATTAAAAATAAAGTTTATTCTAGGACCTTGGCTCTTAAAGAATTCCATGAGCTTCTTTCAAAGGACTTTTGAGGAGGTTTAACTGAAAACTAGAATTGACCTAACATAAGGGAATCAGATATTTGAAACACACACAATTGAGAGAATAAATAGCACCGACTTGTTTTGGCAGGATGGTTAAGCGAATGCTCATTTCTTACCTACTTGCAAGGAGAGATTTGAAACCTGAAATTTTGACAATTTTCCTCTACCCCAGACAACCAACATCTGCTTGTATTTTCCATTCATATGTTCAATTTCCAGTTCATAAAATTTTCATTCCATCCTTCCTGTCCCAAAGGAAAGGATGGTGCCTCCCTATAGGACAATGGAACATATGTCCAAGAGCCTTCGGAGAAATCTGCACTTTCTCCATTTTCAGATTAGAACAGGGGGCCCATCACAGCCCACTGGCCTGGATTTCTGAGTGGACACCTGGAGGGTATTCAGACATGCAGCCACTCAGCTGAGATAGTTCTATTCTGCCTACGACAGGCATTCCCTGCCTACTGGCATATGCTAAACCCTAGATTTCCTCTATTCTACCCCAATCTACTTAGTCCTTTTCTGATTTTTCTCACATGAAATTCTCCTGGCAGCTGCTTCTCCTTCAGAAAATCTGTGACTCAACAACAGCTTGACCTCAGGCAGTCCACAAAAGGAAACACTTAGAAAGTCAACTTGACTTTCTGGCTGAAACCATGTAAGTGATGGACCGTAAATTGCACCAACCATAGGGAAGTAGAATTGTGTTTTACAGTTTCACAAGGAAGATCAGCTATAAGATAGTAAAACCTCATTAACTCGGATCACTAATTCAGAACTTGAGACCAAGTCCACAAGGCTGGGCTGACCCTTTGCATATCCTTTCTGAGCACAGAATAAAAAAATACGTGAAGGAGGGATCTTTATGGGGGGAAAGGAAGTGGGCCTATTGTTCTCCAAAGACCAGTCTTTCTTCATTTCATGGAGCTGCCTCCCAAGTACTTAAACCACTTCAGAGAATAAACGATTTCCAATTATAGACGAACATAAAAACAGTCCATCTGTTAATTACAAATCATCCTTACGTACTCACATGGCATTAACCTAGTGCCTTTGCTATACAGTCCTGGAAGAAATAAAATTGAGTTTCTTTTCAAAGTATTCGTCTTTACAATAATGTTCAGTCTCTCTAGCTTCTCATAGGTCTGTTTAGAGCTTTAAGGAAAGGTTGAAGGATAAATAGCAGTGAGAGAGGAATGAGTTATATTAGATGAATGCCCTTAAATGGAAAACAAGAGGTTCATTTTGCTTATTATTTATTGGACAGCTCACTTGAAGTTTTGCCTAAGCTCCCTCCTCTGCAGCATGGAACTAATGGCACATAATCTCTCTAAATAAAGCTCGGTCCTCTTATCTGTAAAGGGTCGAGGGAACCTGCCAGAAAGCACAGTACCTGGCACAGGGCATGTGGAGCTACTAGTGCTAATCTAGTCTGCAGCTCACTTTCCACTGAAGCAGAGCAACTCTTTCCATATTTGCCCATTCGGTGAGGTGTTCCCTGAATTCGCTAACTTTAAAATTAAAATCAGAGCTACGTATTAGATATTGAGCTTATTTCAAAATCTGATACATTGTTATAAAAATCACAGACTCTTGACAGCTGGAACGTTTAGTTTCCCTTTTAAATTCTAAGAAAAAAAATATATTTGAAAGTTTGTAAAAAAAAAAAAAACCTACATAAATTCGGCTTCATTGTATAATCTTATGCTGCCTAACCTTGCTCTTAGGCAATTCTCATGAGCTTCGATCTGAACTCGTCCTAGTTAAGGAGTTGGTGAGTTTTAAAGAAATAATGACCATTTTGTGCTACAAAAGCAAATAGCTCTACTTCCTGTTCCGTGCTTGACTTAAAATAAGACAGTTTTTCCTCTCAAACTGACCTTCCTCTAGGGTTTGCTACAAACCTCACCTTTGCTGATGGACTCGTTCAAGGAGGTGTGAGGTCTACACTCCAGAAACCTATCCGTGGGGAGAGTAGACGCCCTGCACTATTTCTGAGCTCACAAGAGTGCTTCCCAACCTTGGAGGAGGCTTAACTCAGCCCTGGAGCCCTTCCTGGTCACTCCCTCCCGCCCCAGCCTAAGTACAGGTACATCATATGTCATTAGCACTTCCAGCAAGTCTCTCAGACCTGGGTCTGCTGGGGAGCAGCTCCCCCACGCCCCCTCCACACACACTGGAACCTGATTCTGTGGCTCCCTAACAACTTCCCTGAAAGGCCAGTGGTAAGAACAGCTTCTCAAGGGCCAGGGCCTTGAATTCTGCTTTTTATTTTCCACGTACCTTCTCTGTACCAAGGTCCCAAGTGCCTAAGAGAGTATCTTATTGAATTTTCATTCACAGATTAGCTTTTGTATAAATAAGAAGGCTCAGAAAGGTTGAATATAGCCCAAGACCCTGAGCTAGTAAGTGGCACCGCAGTCCAAATCCTCAGGCCCCAAGGACTGAGAAAGTCCCCAGGGCCGCAGAGGCTGGTTATGACAGTTCACACGGAGAATAAAGGCCCTGCCCGCCCACTGAAATCTTCCAGAAATGTGTATATCTTCCATGGTTAGCTCTTTAAGAATAATTATGTACTAATTAAGAGTACACTAGACAATCTGGGCGGGCAGAAGGCATTTCCAGGGCAGGGTGATTTATTTATTTATTAAATAATTCTTTATTGTTGAAAGCATTACATATGTCACCTGATAGATCCTCCCTCCCCCAATGGGTGGGTGGAGTATGACGTAAGGTCCTTGGTTGATTACCTCCCACCCATCCCCCTCCCCCAAAGGCAGGATGATTTATGAATCTCTCAAAAAGTTGAGAATATCAAATACAGTTTGTCTAAACTTGGTTCAAATCAAGTTTCCTGGCCAGCCTAATGCCAGTGAGAAGCAAGCCTCCAAACCATGGAGGATCTATCAGGGTCTGTCGTTGCACTTGGCACCTGCTTTTAAGACATGATATGGTAGAATCCTCACTGAGGAATAACATTAGCCAAGAATTGTAATTTATTTTCTCATAATGGGCCAAGCAGCATCTCTATACTGGATTCCACTCAGCTCTTTAACGAAAAGGTTAAGCTGTATATTGTCATCAACTCACAAAACTGCAAATCCAGCAGTTTCCCTTGAAACTGCCCACATTTGCAGCTCCTTTGGTTGTTTTAGAAAATGCATCATATTCGTCTATCATCTCCTACACCAAAACGTGTGTGCATGGCACTGGGATCTTGGAGGGGGCAGCGTGAGGACAGGCCAGACAGAGCGTGAGGACTGGCAACGGAGGTCTGGAAGTGCATCCTTGTCTGACAGTCACTGGCTGGCGTCACTGGACATGACACTTTACCTCTGTGTGCTTCTAGCTCCTCGTCAGGGAAATGAGAGAGATGGACCATGTGATGTGATCTCTAAGGTGTCTTCCAGTTTCCCATTCTGAAAATCTATTATTTAATAATAAAGGAATATGAGGTTATGCTCAAACACTACAGCAAGGCCTTGCCAAATGAACATAATGACTGATATTGTTTGCAACCTGAGTGACTTTTCCATCGGTGACAGGGGTTTCGGAAAGCTCTTCTGTACAAGCAAGCCTCATATTAAGAAAATCTGATACATGAGACGCTCGACTTACTAAACAGATAAAGGAGAAAGTGATTATGTGCATTACAACGGAATTCACCATAGATTCCCTATAAATAGCTAAAACCCCTGTGCACTTAAAATATAATCTGATTTAGTAGAATTCAATTTTCACAGGGTTTTTTTTTTCAATATTACAGCTATTGCCTAAAAAGACCATATTTAAAGTAATGAGAAGCCACTTTTATAGTGTGTATCAGATAAGAAAAGGGGTAAAACCAACATCTATTAAATGCCCACAGTGTGCCCGGAGCCTCACACACATCACCTCATTTCCTTCACAAAATACACATATGAGGTTGGTATCGGGCCTCCATTTTGGGATACAAGGAAGCTAAAAACAGAAATGTTATATGAATGTGTCTCAAATCTTGAGCCAAAATTCAAACGCAAAAGTGCTGCTGCGTTCTTTCCCTTCATCAGTGGGTCTTTACTCCATGCCCCTTGTGTGCAGGACAGCACTGACGGATATGGGGCCAGCCCTGATTTGATAATGTGGACTGTGAGTGTGGCACCCTGGGATCCAGGAAGTCCCCGATTCCAAACTCACCCACCCCAGTACTCACTACATGGCACTGGGCAAGTCACTTTACCTGGGATCAATTTTTTCTTCTCTGAACTGAGGAATGATTTCTGGCCGCCTCCCAGGGTTGTGAAATAAAATGATAAAATGTATGTAAAAGTATGTAGATACTTTCAGAATGTATTGGGGTACTATTTTTTTTTAAACAATCATTCCTAGAACTCACATATTTTGCTGGTGCATTGTGCTTGGAATAGCTAAAAAAGTCACTTTCCCATCACACTCAGGGCTAATGAGATCTTAACAAGTCATGTGTCCAAGAAATCAAAGGAAATTGAAGGAAAACTGGAAAGGACACAAGAAAATAAAGTCAATAGAAGTGCAATATCTGACCTGGACAGCTGGGGTCATGGACACTTAGAGCATCCAATGTCTATTCTGAAAGAGGTGGTGACAAGATATTCTTCCACAGTGAGAAGAGGACAACAGGAAACCTTCCTAAGTCGTATGCAGAATACAATGCAGGGCGTCTACCACTAAGGGTCATTACCACTGGAAGCGTTAGTCAATAAGCAGCCAGCAGATTTCTATCTATAGGCATAACCTTGTCTGAAAAAGCATGCAAGTGGCAACACAGGTGCTCAATAATCTCCACATACTCCTCTTGGCCTGTCCCACATCTTCCACTTCTGCTCACCTGCTCCCTCCTCCCCCAGCTGGATCTCCTCCCTCCCTCAGTGCTAATGTGTCCTACAAGTCATGATCTGAAGACCAGGTTCTCTCATTCCCTTGGCCCTGCCTAGGGAGTGAATAGATTCACTAACAGGTATCAAAACCTGCAGATGCATTAATATCTTCCCCAGTTAGAACATCTGCATTTGTAAGATATTTTCCAGGAGATCCATCATTTCTTTACCAAAGAAAAGTCTCTAATAATGATAAAGACTTGCAATGTAACAAGCCAAAGCTGGGAATCACCGTGAGTCAGTAGCCTCTTCACAGCGGCCCTGAAATCAGCGGGTCCTGGGATGAGAATGCATCATGCTCAAGGTCCTTAGTCAGTGAATGAGTTTGTCACAAGTTGTCAAAACAGCAAGTAGAAATGAAAATCAAAGAAAACTCCTCTCAGAGCCAAGAAAAAAGGAAAGGAGAGAGGGAGGGAGGGAGGGAG